GTCGTAAAAGCGGCCCTATTGTTGTGGTAAGTGCCACAGCGGTTATTTGGGCCTGCCGTTCCTAGCGTAGACCCCGCTGTGGCACTTATCGGAACAATAGGACCGCTTTTACGACTTGCCACTCAAACCAAGACGTATCTACTGAAAATCGGGAAACGTTATATCTTGAAAACTAATTAAAATCGAGTGTATACATTGAAGCTTAACGAATTCGTCTTGAGAAGCGCTATTACATGATCTGAAAAAAAATATATGGTTCCATTTAAAAAACAAAACTTGACATCATATGTCTTAAACTAATAATGCAAAACTCAAATTCTTAATATATTGTTGCGATGCGACAGCGAGAAGCTATCGTGTTTCCATCACAAGAAACTGTCCCTTTCGATCGAGTGGTTACGGATTTCCGGTTGCCTCGGTCACTCGGACAACCGCGCGATATGTAAATAAAGAGGTCTCGAGAAGTGATCGAGAACAGATCTATGAATTGTCTTGTCAGAACTCTATGAATGACATCTGTTATAGCATTATGAAGGTAGACACAGGTAATGCAGTGAGGTGACATTACCAGAATATACATACTTTTCGTCCTTATATGAGAAGATTTTGAGCTAAATAAGGATCTGGTCAACGTTTGCGTCACAAAACTCTTTTAGTAACCTAAAAATTCTGCGGGTGTATTTTGTCGATTTTTGTTCTACTTTGGACACTCATATTATTAGATATCAACAGAATCTCGTTGAACCATAATCAGATCGCCCTGCATTGAACCTTCCTCTTTCGAATGAACCCTTATTCAGCTCACAATCTTTTCATATAAGGATGGAAAGTATAATCCTGTAAGCCCCTTTTTAAGCCCGTTTATGCTGGTAATATTACCTCGTTGCATTACCCATGTCTACCCCTTTAAATATATCGTTTAGTTCATTTAGTATTGTGTTAATTTATGAGTTCTCCTGGTACAACAATATTATTTAAACAAATGACCATTAATTAAATGCTTTATTCAAAAACATACAGTTAAAAAAAAGAAAAGTTCATACTTCTGCCAATTGCAAAACAGTTGCAAAATGCGTTATTTTCTTCTTGTATAAATCAATTTTTTCTAGAAATGAATTGTTATTATTACTGCTATTACCTTTATACCACAATGTTTATCTCGCTTGGATGTTTCGTATTACAATATCGTATTGCTGTGACATTATGTACTTGAAAGCGATATTAAATAAATCTCGGATATCGTTCAATTGTAATTAAGTCTTTAATTGCAAGTTACTAAACAATTGTTAACAACAACTGTAAATCTTATACGTGAATGTAATATTACAATTAGCACGAAAGATCAACTTAGAATACAACATAAATGAAGATGAGCAATGTTTTGTATATATTTTTGTTACAATATGAAACCTATATCTCAAATAAGTTATCTCAATACATACCTTGTGATTATTCGTAAACTCCAAAATGTTTAAAAAAGAATTATGTTTGTAATATCGTCGCTTTTTCCTACATTTCATTTTATGAAGTTAATCGATTCTGTTTGTGAGCAGCTTGCTGTAATTTTGATTAATATCTACTTATGCAAATGGCTAAATAAATATTAAAATATACTTCTTTTACTTGTGAAACTTGCTTGCTATGACATTGTAAAATGATTGGAGTAAATATAGTGAGGGTACAATTGAAAGAAAATATGATGTAATTCTTTTAATGAAAACGTTGAACATGCCACTTTGTTAAAGGTGTTTGGACGTTCCTTTGGCAAATTAATTTTTGCTTTTCGTTTTCAATGCTTCGATGCTCGGTCACGTTAATTGCTTGAGTTTCTTATTGATCAAACCAATAGAGTCGATTCATTTAATTGTTTGTTAACGTTTCGATTATTTTATTGGCCCGAATTGATCGATTGACAAATTTAAACTACAGAAATGTCTTATACGTATGTATATGTTACAGGCAAAATGTAACCAAACCTATTACTGTTCTAGTTCAAACCAACCAAAATTGGATTAGCTTTTTTATAAAAAGGGATGTGATGAACTACAAATTAAGCAAGTTTAGGTCAAGTTACATTAGGTTTTCTTTAAAATATAACCAGAGCAAATCTATTACAATTTTATATAATTCCAATCAATCCAGAATGAATTAGCTTTATTAAAAAAAAGAAGTTTGATGAATTATATAATGTATATCATTATAGTAAATCCTCTCAAATTGTCTCTAAGTACGGAATCAAAAATGAATAATATGGGTAGTAGAGGACAAGTCGTAAAAGAAAAAGATGGTATGAGACCCGTAGCAGCCGAGAAATTTAAAAACCAGCTGATCAGCCACAAATTACGATGTTATAATAAACACAACAGTTTAACTTTCTTATTTTTTATTTCTTCTACATGCAAATCTTATTAACATATTGGTACAATTTTTCAAGTTGGTACAAGTTGCATTTAGCAGAAATAAAAATAAAAAAAGTTTTATTGTTGAATTAATATTATCTCGTCAATATGTTTTTCTTAGTTTCTTTGATTCTCAGACCTTTTTCTCGTCCCCTCTCTGTTCTTTTATAAGTTTGGCAACATTCAAATGCTCAGCTCAAACCTTTTTTAAGAACCGTAAGGACACCTTCATAAGCTTCATAACAGCCCGGTTTTCGTTTCAATTTTCGGTTAGTTATTTAACTTTTATTCTAGCGCGTTTTTAGCACGCTTCTAAGAGCGGGCTTATGTCAGGACTTTTATGTATCTGCCAAACCATTGAACCTCCGGTCTTATTTATCAGAATAGTAATAAAAAAAACGGAGCGTGCTTTAAGTTCGGTTTGACCGCTGACATCATATAAGAGTCGGTAAGGTGGTAAGTGACTACGAACACTTTTTCAAACTCCCACAGCATAATCGATACCAGCGCCATCAGCCGCCAGTCGTAAAAACTAATACATGACATCACCATCGTCTGCTCCTGAAAGAACTAAAACGTGGCGTCATATGCGTCCCTTTGTCCCTAAATATCAAAACGCTGGTTGTAAGTGACAATTATGGCGGGTAGGAAAAAGCACATTGTTTTAACCATGCAACAACGCCTGGATGTTTTGAAGGACTTAGATACCACATCTGTATCCGCGATTGCAAAAAAGTACGGCGTGAACAGAAAGACAATTCGTCGAATAATAAACAATGCACCGAGGATTCACATGTTCGCGAATAAGAATAAGCGAGAGAAAAAACGACGAAGAATAGTGGAACCAGTTTATAACGAACTAGATGAACGTTTATTAATGTGGTACATTGAAAAAAGGACACTTGGGGATAAGATAACGGACGCTTTAATGCTTGCAAAAGCTACGCAAATAAAAGAAGATTTACCATCGTGTTCAAGTTTCAAGGCCAGCCACGGCTGGTTGGCAAAATTTAAAGCACGCCACAACATACGTTTGGTGCGTCTGTATCACGAAGAATCTAGTGCGGAGGAAGAGACGGCAGAAAATGAAAATCAGCAACTTAAGGAAGAAGGAACTTCTCTAAAAGAACTCCAGGAGAGTTTTAAGTCTGAAGAAATGATGGAGAACCACAACGATGAAGCAGCAAAAACGGAGCTAATAAATATATTCGAAAGACTCACATTTTATAGTGTTAGAGCACCAGCGCATATTCAATGCATAGTGAAAGGGCTGAAAATATATTTTTTGGATGAAGAGCATTAACTGGAAGGTAAGTGCGTATATCTGCATTTAACTCTCTACTAATTCATGCCACTTTGAACGATAAAAGAATTTTACTTGGGGGATGTTTCCTTCTATATAAAATAAATAAATATTGTTCAAATTATATCGCGTTTGGTCTCATTTTAATCAGAAAATCTCACCAATATGTTAACAAAATTTGTAAGTGAAAAAAGTAAACTTAAAAGGTTCTATTGCTTTATTATTAACTACCAAGTCATGAACTCTCGTCAAAGAAACGGGGTGAATTCGTAGAAAAACTTCTCCCTTACCGCTTGAGATAACTTTTGATTATGTTGTAGACTTTGACATTTTAAACAACTTTTTCTTGTTACAAAAATATCGGACTCTTTTGGTTTTCGAATTACAGTACAGTAAAGCGTCTCACGTTGTCCCAATGTTGTTCTATCCACTTTGTCCGCCGGTTTCTTCCTACGCCTATGTATGTCTTATCCGACGTCTATGTTCTGTTTATTGAAGTCAGCCACGCGACACGCTATGCGGCTTCTTTGATGAGAGTTCAGTTTATAACAAAGAAATATCTTTCTTAATTTTACTTTTTTTTACCCACAAATTTTTTTAACATATTGTTAAGATTTTTTTGGTTAAAATGAGACCAAACATGATATAATTTGGATCACATTTACTTATTTTATGTACAAGGAAACATTTACAATGCGAATTTTTTTTCGACCATATAGTCCAAATTATGTCATAGTTGGTCTCTTTTTAATCAGAAAAATTGTACCAATATGTTAAAACAATTTGCATGCAAGAAAATCTAAAAATAAGAAAGTTAAACTGTTTTTATTATAACATCGTTGTGCATTTGTGTCAGCACACTGATAGGCTAGATTTAAATTTCTCTGAGAAATAGTATCTGTTCTAACCGTATTGTCTATCTTCGTTTCCCACCTTACGGACAACGTGAGAAGCATTTCTGTATTCACAAAAAAATATCATTACCACTACAATGAATTCTGCGTATACGTATGCGTTGGCCATTGATTGTCACTTGCCTACCTTTTCTCTAAACAGCACCACGTGGGCCGGCAACCATACAGTCGCGGATAAAAGTAAGTAGACATTGTTTAAAACAAAATATATATGTACCTCTTAAAATTGGATCAAATGTCGAGGTTTTTTGAAGTTACCAAAATTAATTTACTAAAATAAACTCTTTTGTAGTTTTAAAAAAATTACAATTTGGTGAAATCGTGAAAAAAAATAGCGAAGGGTAATTTTTCAACTTTTTTATGCGAGCTTATAATGAACATTTAAAATATGTCTCTCATAGATTGAATTAATTTATGTGTATACTGAAAATTTCATTGAGATCGGTCAATGCATTTAGAAGTTATAAGTATGTTACGTTTCTCTCTCGGAAATTTCCTTATTTGAAGTTGGATGCGTACACCCGGCATAGACAGCCTTCTAGAAAATTCGAGACCAACGCGAAGCAAGGGCGCGGTCCTTCGGAGTCTCGTAGAGTCCGCCCCCACCATTCTTTTTACTCCAATTTCTGGGTATAAAAAGGGTGGCGACGAAGGCACTTTGGTTTAGTTACGGTCTAGAAAGAGTTCAGTATGTGTCAGTGCGATTCATTTACGGAAAATCTCTGCAACGAGGGAACTCTGCAAGCTCGGGTATTCAAGTTCCCTTCGAGCTATCACTTAACAATACAGTACGTTGTCTGCTGTTAGGCATTGTTTTACAGTTGAAGTCCGGCCTCGTTTGTTCGCGTTCGTTAAAAGCGAGAAGGATTATTTTCTTACGTCGAGGAATCGAAACTCAACAGTTTAACTCAATTCATTTTATTCCCTTGACAAGGTTGTAAATCTAGAATCGTTCATTCAATACCGCAACAATTACACGCAACATATGTAAAGTTCCGGCACAAGACAATAAATTTAGGTCATTTATAGTAAGGTATACTTATAACGCTCGAGATGCACCGATAATTCAAGTTACGAGGCCTAATACTAACATTTCCTGCGGCTCCCTACGTTAGCCATACGTAGGTTCGTCCGCATTTCACTCTCCTGAGGCTCCCTACGTTAGCCATACGTAGGTTCGTCCGCATATCACTCTCCTGAGGCTCCCTACGTTAGCCATACGTAGGTTCGTCCTCACGTCTTCACCTTTCCTGTGGCTCCCTACGTTAGCCATACGTAGGTTCGTCCACGATAACCAACCTCCTGGAGCTCCCTACGTTAGCCATACGTAGGTTCGTCTCCGCGTCTATTTCCTTAGGCTCCCACTGTTAACTGACAACACTGATCAAACCAATTAACAACTCCATAACCAAAATATAGCCCCGGCCATGCAGCCGTCCCCTCCGGCTCGTAACATTCAGTTATAATAACCTGTCTAGGGAATCTACTAAGGTGTACCTTTACCGCTTGAGATGTACTAATAATTGAAGTTACGAGGCCTAATACTAACATTTCCTGCGGCTCCCTACGTTAGCCATATGTAGGTTCGTCCGCATATCACTCTCCTGAGGCTCCTTACGTTAGCCATACGTAGGTTCGTCCTCGCGTCTTCACCTTTCCTGTGGCTCCCTACGTTAGCCATACGTAGGTTCGTCCACGATAACCAACCTCCTGGAGCTCCCTACGTTAGCCATACGTAGGTTCGTCTCCGCGTCTATTTCCTTAGGCTCCCAGTTGTTAACTAACAACACTGATCAAACCAATTAACAACTCCATAACCAAAATATAGCCCCGGCCATGCAGCCGTCCCCTCCGGCTCGTAACATTCAGTTATAATAATCTGTCTAGGGAATCTACTAAGGTGTACCTTTACCGCTCGAGATGTACTAATAATTCAAGTTACGAGGCCTAATACTAACATTTCCTGCGGCTCCCTACGTTAGCCATATGTAGGTTCGTCCGCATATCACTCTCCTGAGGCTCCTTACGTTAGCCATACGTAGGTTCGTCCTCGCGTCTTCACCTTTCCTGTGGCTCCCTACGTTAGCCATACGTAGGTTCGTCCACGATAACCAACCTCCTGGAGCTCCCTACGTTAGCCATACGTAGGTTCGTCTCCGCGTCTATTTCCTTAGGCTCCCAGTGTTAACTGACAACACTGGTCAAGCCAATTAACAACTCCATAACCAAAATATAGCCCCGGCCACGCAGCCGTCCCCTCCGGCTCGTAACATATGCATGCTGAAAATTTCATTGCGATCGGTCCACGCACTTAGAAGTTAACATCAATTAAAATTGGCGTAAATCTCAATTCTTCATTTATGATCATAATTAGTCATCGATTAGAAGAAGGGTTAACAAAAATCGGTTATATCCGGTTTGCCCTGTATTTCTGCATGGCTCATCAGTTGAAAATAATTTTTGCGATTTTGTAATATCGAGAAAAACAATATCATGTGACGGGTAAATGACAAAAGCTTCAAGTTTGTGTCCATCAATAATTTTATTAAAACGCAAACATTCTCATTCGTCGCTTTACGTTGTCATATTTCATCGTGGTAAGAGAATTTATCATAACCTTCTCGAGTGTAACATATCTTGACATATCTTATAGGCGATACCTTCCCGAGTAATTTTTCCTTATAACTTTACCGTCGGTCATTGTTTAGTAAAAAATTATTAACAATGAAAGATTGAAAAATGTACTGTTATTTTTCTAAAAATCTAAATTATTTCCGCATGAAGTGCTGCCACATTAGTTAAACATTCTAGTATTGGAACTAACAAATAGGCTTTGCCCTTCCCTCGCACCTCCGCTTCTAAAAAAACTAAACATCAAGATGAAATGTAGTGGGTCTTTTCGTCATGAAATCAGAACAGCGCGATTGCACTGCGTGGGACTCAAGTGTTAATAAGGTTGTATAATTTTTTCTATTCAGTATTTCAAAACTCTCTTTGGCCTAGTGTGATACTAGATGCTTTAAAAATTTGAAGTTGATAGTTGCAGTAGATTCTGAGAACAAGGTACCGCAGAAAATGTCCACTCCCCTTATGAGATAGGGCCGGATTTAGTGTATCATTTATCCTGGGCGAGTATGCGTATAAAAATTTTCCGGCTCGAAGATAGTGCAATTTTTTATTATGCGTTTTTAAAAATTAGATTTAAGGTAACCTTGGGTGTTCGCTGCCCTTGCTGTCGAAAACTGGTACTGCTTAGGAACTTCCTGGTAATAAATTACGAAAAGTTAGAAGCTGTAGATCACGATTATCTACAGCCTCAAAAATAGCAGAAATCACGTAAGTACACACTATAAATCCTATCCTTGCCGAAGCCTTTAATAACTTTTTCGAGTAGTAAACCCAAAGCTCTTGAAATTTAAAAATTTGTTTCTTCTTTTTTTTTGTTTATTTAATTGTATATAATATAAAGAATATTTTGTTTCAAATGTTATCAGAAAATTCTGATAATTGACGAAACTGTAGTTAAAATTGTAAGAGTGTGCGTCGCAATCAATAGGCAATAATTTAAGCCTGTATGTTCTTAAGCAATAATTCTCCAGCGAACAATTAAACCAATTAAAGCAATAAAAGGAAATTAAATCAATTTATGAAGTACAATTTGATGAAGATTTATTGAGAAAGTACATATGTACAACGCTTTACACATTTAAAGATTTTAATCTTATAATGTGGTCTCGTAAAATCCTTCTTTTTAGAAATATTCTTTGAAAATTCTCTAGACAATAATTCTGTCAATTGTCAATATTTCTTCATGGTATTTGATGTATGTACTTAAGTACATGTGTGTACATATACATATAGCTGATATGATTGTTTATCTTTTAGTGAATCATGTTTTTGATTTTTCAATTTATAATAAAGCAAAAAATTTTGCTTGATTAAAAATGAGAACTTATACTAATTCAATACTAAAGCATGCAGGTGTGCACAATTTTACTATGTTAATATTTAGAGCATTGTACAATTCTTTTAAGTAGGTATCTATTTAATGAAACCTTAAAACGTTATATTTTCTAGGTTCTTACCTATCTCCTGAAATAAATTAGTACTTAAAAGTGATGTATAGTAAGTCTAGAAGGAAAATAGGAATAGATTACAAGTAGTAAAATTATGATACATAGCGCTAAAGGTATGCGAGAAATTTGGGGAATTGTGTTTCGAGATAAACTTTGCTGAACATGACCATGAATTGAAAATGTTCATTAAAAACTGTATCCAATTCACTCTGAGCCGGCCAAAACAATTCCCGACTCGGTCCGAGTGTTGGGTACACGAAATTTTCGAGTTCTGATACATCTATGCTTTCGAAAACTCGATTCGACGATATTTGCGAATTTGCATTTTCGCTACAAACGTGTAATCGCGTTATGACTGTACCGACCCCTGCCGACCTGACGTTCAGTCGTCGGTGCTGGGCGGATTGCAGATTTCAGGCGCTTTTTACTTGAATTTTTAAACGTTAATTACTGGAAAACAAAGCCGCAAACGCTATTTCGTTATTCTTGATTTTAGTCTTATTTTGATCCCTAGAATCACCCCTCAAATTTTGCCCACCTGTTGTCGAACACCCTGTATATTCGAACCAATTCGAACCGCATGCCGGGCGACCGCTTGCGAGAGCAGTATCACTGATCTCGCGTCGCCACCTAGCGGTTCCCGGCCCGAACTAAGGGCGTCCGGTGAGACGAAACTCTCGCCCCTCCTTCACTAAACGCCTACATTTTAAATGGTATTATATGGTTTCTTCAACATCATTAGATGCATTTCGTTATTTTCCATAAAAAAGTATTAGGTACTGTGCGTTGCAGCTAAGTTGCCGTCCAATCAAATTCGTTGACCTACCTCCAGTCACACGTATTATGTTTATTGGCCGAGGCTCTTACATCCACAATGACGAACGTCGCTAAGGACAGACATTGAAACAGAATGAGATGAAGCGATTGAGAGCGACGATTCAAACGCATTGACGTAGACGTAGATTCGGGGTTTACATTATTAAGAAAACAGGAGAGTTTTTACACTTTCCATAATGTAATTTCTATAAATTTTGCATAATAACAACTGTTGTCAAGAGCGAGTATTATAAAAAATCCATTAATATCTCGAAAAAATCGCATGTTTATATATAATTAAATACATCTTCCGCGAATATGGAAATTTTACGCCTATGCAATCTGGCCACTCACTTCTCAAGTTACGGGCTCCTGGAGGGGATTAGGTGGAGCGAACGCACAGTCCCCTTGCCCCGCTGTCGGTTCAGTTTGTGGGTGCTCGGCAACTTAGCCACAACGCACAGTACTGTTGAGAGATGGAAACTACATTAGGGAAAGGAATGCGGGTACGATTGGTCGTAGTCGGTACGTCAGGCTTCACGCACATGCATTCTAGATCATCGCGCGCTATTAGCCAATGCGATCACATACAGTAATGCTTCGAAATAAGCAAGTGGTCTCTGCTTCGAAATAAGCAAGTCGCTATCCCCTCTTCTTTGTTTGAAGTCGCCCGCAAAGTGAGAGTTACGAGAAACGAGTGAGAGGTCCATGAAAGCGCGAAGCCGATGTTTAGGGTAATAAATTTCACGCTCGACTGAGCGGTGACATCGGTTAGTAGAAGAAGGACGGAATATATATAGGACTGGTATATTTGCTTCGAAATAAAGCATAGTGCGAGAATGAGAGGGCATGTTATATTCTATCCTTGTCTAAAAAATAACATCGCTGCTCGGCCGATCACTTTATGATTTGCCGCTACCTCGGATCTCTCACTCGTTTCTCGCGTTCTCTATCGTCCCGTTTCGAGAACAAAGTCAAGCCGAATAGCTACCTGCTTCGAAATAAGCAACTGTTCGGTCCCGAGCCACTTGCTTATTTCGAAACATTACTGTACTAATCGCGTCGCCTGACAAAGAAGAAAAATGAGACCGTGACAAAGCGAGATGGTACGAAGTCAGCGTTGCGGCGAACTTTGAACGTGAGGATCAAACGTGGGGATACGGCGGAACGTGCGAAATGCTCTCTTTGCCCCTGTACCGTCCCGCTAATGTACTTTCCATCTCTCAACAGCACTTGGGCCGAAAAATGATTAGTTTTCCTTCTCTACATCTTCTACGTAAAATATCTTCTAAAGTTTAGAATCCAAACTAATCATTTTTCGAGCTAAGTTTCTTAATAGTTTTTTTATAGAGAATACCACCATGCACCAAATGATATTTGAAAAAATATACAATTTCATATAAAACAATGATGTTGAAATGCTCCCACCTTGAGAATTTATACATGCATCACACGATGCTCCATTAGTTTAATTAATCCATTAATCCATAATAAAATTATTTTCATCATCTATCGTTTCAAAGCTCGGCCGAGTTGTGTGAAACACCGAGTATACATACAAGTCTGCAGTTCCCCACCACTTGCATGTAAACGTTTACGTGGGATTGGAATTAATGTTTACTTCGTTATTTATATTTTTCAGTTATGTACCAAGTTTATAATATTTAATACTTAAAAATCATTATTTTGTTTCTAAATTACTTTTGATATTAATATCATCGAAATTAAGATTTTGAAAATTCCCGCTTCCCGTATATCGCCATTTTCCCTAGGAAAGCCTAATTTAATCTCGAGTGTACAGACAAAGGTGTATGTAACAAAATATGTACAGTTTATGTTTAAACTTATACTTTATTAGAGGAAATAATGAAATATTTCTGAATAATGACATAATAAATGAATAATTAATTAACTAGTACAAACTGAACAAAGTTAGAAAATTATCTATTAAATTAAATCAACATCAGATCTGTTGCAATACTTCTCTTAATTTCTTCAACATAATGCTTGGTTTCTATTAACATTTTTCTATTTCATAACAAATTCGACGGTAAAACAAACACCAGTGTACTATGCTGTCTTTAATTTTGCTAATAGTGAAATTGCAAACAAGACAGCAATACTTGTTTATTAAAAATAACTAACTATAATACATAGAAATAAACTATGGTTTCACACAGAAGCAATAACATGATGTTCAGTAACATATTAACAGTAACATTAAAATTACTAGTTCATAAATTATGGAACATATTCACTGACAAGGGAAGAATCTTAACTGTTCAACTTCGATTTTAACGTGCTATTGTAAGATGATAACATATACAGGCTGTCTCAGCTAAAAGAGGCCACCTAAATATGAAAAGTGCTCATAGCACTATTTGAATGGCTTCAAACCATTCATTTGAAGGAATATGCACCTTGAAAAATAAATGTTTTATCAGATAATTTATTCTGTATTTTCTCAAAGTCTTCGTGATTTTTTATTTGCGAAACGTTTATTTTTTTCTGTGGCATTTTTTAAGGGATGAAAAAATACATTCGAGTATGACCTTCATATGGACTGGAAAACCAATAATGTGATGAAATTCTATTTTACAAGTGTATTTTTTTCATCCACTACAAAATGTAATAGAAAAGATATTCATTTTCTGTTTAAATAATAACAGTGATCTTTAAAAAACACTGAATAAATAACTTGATAAAAGAAGTTTGTTTTATTAAGGTATTGCTTTACTGGAGCCATTCAAATTGTGCCGTGAACATTTTTCATGTCATAAAAATCAAAGGAGAAGTGACTTCCTTTAGTTGAAACACCCTGTATATTTCTAATGATACGTGTAAAATATTAGGTAACTTTAAAGATATAACCAATTAAAAATACACGCTTTCAAGATTAGTGCGAAGCTAAAATTGGCTAAAGTATTGTTGATGAAATCAAATGATTACTTAGCTGATAATGAGAAATCGTCGAATCGAATCCGGTTCACTGAAGTATTATATTTCATTTTACAATTCTATTGCAGAAATAATACATTCCATACCAAATTCATCTGTTTAACATTTTAACAACTATACATTTTGTTGAATTTATGACTTGTACAATTTTACGGTTGCTTTTATACTAAATAAGAAATTAATGTTGTTTAACAAATACTGTTAAATTTTTTAATTGTAACTAATATTTAATCAAATTACAAGTACATCTAAAAAACATATATACTTTCATCCTTGTTTAAGAGAGTGCTAAACGTCTCTCCTTTTATACTACACCAAATATTTATTAATATAATGCTGTAACTTTCTTTTAAATATTAATAATTTCGATGCAATATTCTTTTACAATATTTTCTGTGTCGCAATAAAATTGTAAAAAAAAGAGATAAGTTTCCGTTAATAAAACTAAAATAAAACTTTAGTACCTTTTTTTTGAGAACTTCATGGTACATATCAAAAATATGCATTTTTAGATTTTTAAAATTGTCAAACAGTCGAGTGCCTACCCTTTACGCTTTACACTTTCCACGCTTTTTTCATTAGGAAGCTGTATGCTGTCATCGTACAGAAGTCGAATAAAATTAAAATCAAACAGTTAGGGTTTTTCCATTCTAAGTAAAAAATAAGATCAATCACGTTGCTTTTAACAAAAATATTTATTATTTATTAGCAGGTTGTAATTTTTGGTTGAGACGCTGTAAACCGAAGTTTTTTCTTTCTACAGACTCTAAAATAATGCTAATTAACAAATCTAGTTCTTAGTTTATAAATTTCTTATAAGTAGTGAAAACATCTGAAAACATAGGTGGAATTGTGCACGTCTGTCTTACAAGGAAACCGCCACAAGTGTCCTCTTCAAAGCTTACAATTAGTAAACTTTTGCATATTGGTAGATGATATTATTACAAATTCTTTTTGTATATACCCATATGATATTCCACGTAGACGGTTAATACTTTGCTGTAACAGTTCCTAACAAATAAAAGAGTATTCCTTTTCAAATTGTATTTTCTTCACATAATTATATAATTAGGTACAGTATAAGCATGGTAGACTTTCTTAGAAAAAATGATGGGAAGGAGTAATTCTCAAAATTCTAAAATCAAGATTAATTCAGGAAAAGTTAATATAAAGTTTAATTATTGAATATTATAAATTTTAATATATAACCACTAAATATTAGAAATAAAAGAAATATTAAGTAAAATTTTCAAAAATAAATGTTCACACATGAAACGCAGCAGTGGAAGAAAGCCCCATTACTTGCGTGTAATTTTTATTTACCTAATATTTTGTAGTTGTATATTAAATTTTATACTATTTAATAATTATAAATCATATTAACTTTTCCTAAATTAATCTTATATAATATTAGCATCTTCTAAATTAGAATTTTGAAAATTCATCCTTCCCGGCATTTTCTGAAATGAAGTCTGCCATGCTCGGTACTGTAAGTACATTGAGTTGCATCGAACTTGTCGCGGCGTGTGACACTAACACATATTCACGCCGACAGTCGATTGGCTGCAGTCCCTCCTTCGCGTGCCCCTCGCCCGCCGGCTCTACGTCGTGAATATGTGTAGTACATAAGTGCGTGATAAACTGCTGTCTTCACAATTTATATGTGTTAGGTATAACAGAAAAACCAATTTCTTCTAAATTACTTTGAGTAACTATTAAAATTTTTTTCTGTATTATAGGGATTGGAATGCCTAAACTTTAAATTATGCATGTCCTAATACATGTTGATATAATTCTTTGGAAATTTATGCTATCCTATACTATTTCTTCAAATTTTTAAATATTACAAAGCAAATTCATTTGCATTTACTAATTTGGAAAAATGGTACCTGAATTATAATGGCCCGAATAGCTTTTATTTTAAGTATCTTTTAAATTATTGATTATCTACGTCCATAGCCATGTATGTATGTATGTATGTATGTACATACAAAAAGGTTCGTAATAACATGATTTATCAACGTATAAAATTTTATTAAAATCTGAGGGAATCACTTGGAATTGTTGGTAAACAATTACTTCAGTTGCATGAAGTAGGAGCAAATTAAGATTTTTGGAGCCTAGAGTTATCAAACCTTCGAGGGTTTCCTTGGTTAATAAATATGGTGAAAAATCGAAATTTATTCTAAATAACATTAAATAACATTTAATTGCAAAGAAGAAAGGCAATAGTAAAAAAAATTTAATTCAACATTTTATGACGTAACAAGTGGAAGGTATATAACGAAGCCCCGTGGAAGTGTGGCTCGGGGCTGTAGCCCCTCTTAGATTTTCCCTTAATCAAACGCTGGCATAATAAAAATGAGTATTTTTTATAATTAATGATAATACCATGGATGGTATTATTTACGTTTTGATTAACATCAATTATTTTTCCATGAAATTTGTAACTAATAATAAGGCAATGAGTAAGGAAGTTACTATTCTACGTAACGACGTTTAGGTCACTAATAATTTATAATAAATTATTTAAGCGAAATTGAACAATTTCGTGAATAACTAAATTTCTAGAATTATTACTATTCTTGAAACTAGTATCTTTATTAATTAATGTACCCTATTTAATTATCGCTTCTTTGAATAAAGTTTGTATCAAACATAAACGTAAGAGAATATTAATGTTCTTTCCATTAGACAGGAAACAAAGTGCACAATGTTAGTGACAGTTTCGAGTCTCATATTTGGAATTTATAGCAGAATGATAAGTCCAGTTTAGTCTTTCAAACAGTAAAAGACATTTTTGCATAAGACTTCAGCAATATTTGTTCATTCTTCTTTCAATCTTCTTGCTACACATTCGTTTTCTTGTTTCATTCTTGCAAGTTTGTTTGGTCTTGCAAGCAACAATTATCCATTGTTAAAAAATACTTTTCAGCGGATCACTTTTCACAATTTAAAACTGATGATTGTTAAATGTCTTCAAAAAAATGAAAAGGAAACGGTTACTCGAACCTTATTTCTTATTCCCTTTCATTCGATTCGGTGCATAGACTATTCTTTAGTTTACCAGAGAACTACGTATTATGGAATTCACACAACGTAAATTGGATCTTTGCACACCGATATTCGTGCTTCTTGAAGAATCCTCAACCGTGGTCCCAGAGGTACTCCCATTTTTTGCAGCCTTTCTTCGCTTAGGTACGGAAGTTCCACCATTCCGACCTTTTCCTTCTCAAATGCAGTTGCATATTTCTGTAACAAGAATAATTTCGTCGAAAATTTACTAAATTATATTTACTCACTGATTTGAAGTTCAACAGAAATGATATTTAAAAGGAGGAAAATTGTAATGTGGGAAAGTAGGTAATTGAAGATATCAGTGAAAGTGACTAAAACGTTTTAACGATAAGCAGGTTTCGTTTACATTTGACAGACTTGAAAGTACTGTCCACCGATCACAAGAAGTCTCATGAGAATAACGCAATCTGATTGGCCTCAGCTCACACGTACTTTCGGTCGTGACGTATGATTGGTCAAAGTGATCACATCTATCAATCAGGCTCGTATAAAACTAGGGGGGTTAGTCAATGTATGCGTAGTATCCTCTCTCGCCCCTGTGCCGTCCCGCGAGATTTCTTGTTATCGATGAACAGTAGTAGGGTCGATTAGGGCGGAGACTATACCACTAGACGTGCGACTATCGATTATTATGAATAAGTTAGAGATATCTTAACGATATTATCGATATATTAAAATATCGATAACATTTCGATATTATCGAAATTTATTGATAACTATGTGGATAGTCACACTTCTACAGGGTGATCCTCTCGCTACGCTACTCGAAAGGAAGTGCCGCCACAATAGAATGTAGAAGTCGACATCCCATTTCTATCATCGCTTACTTCAGGCCTGTCCAAGTAGGGGAATCCACTTCTGGAACACATGTTTCGGTTCCCTTTACAACGCTGCTCCTTCAAGTAAGATGGGACGGTTCCGACTACCATCTCTCCAAGGAGACAGTACCGCCGCTAGGAAAGACGAAGAGACGGTAGTCGGAACCAGGGGTCGGAAACTCCCACTGATTTTTTTGGCTTTTCAGTTTTAGTTCCCTGATGACGGACAGTACGTAGATAGCGCTACTACGACGACAATCAGCGCCGCCTACATTGGCATTGATTGGCATCATTTAGCGTGGTTTGGCGTCATAGCGTCATAGCGTCCGTTTTGGTGGAGTCCAAATAATTAATAATTATTAATTTATTATCGTATCCCTACAGGTGGCTGCTTGAAATCACAGATTTATGATTTAAAGATAAGAAATCAGCTAAATCATAAATCTCTGATTTTTAGCAGTCACTTTAATACTATAAAAAATTTCGTATTCTATATATATACATATACCGCAGTTCACCCGAGTCCATAACTGCGACGCGCAGGTTGGAAGATAGTGGGGGAACGCAGCGAGCTCTCCGCCAATCGCTTTCCACTTCGTTTGGGAGTATCGCCAATCAGGGCGAAGATGCGCACTGGAGATGCGCGAAGAACGAAAACTGGTCTTTTCGCAGTTATGGACTCTGGTGAACTGCGGTGTATATATATATCAGTCTGAGAAGTACTATATATATCAGAGGCATATACAGTATACTTATATATATATATATGTCTAGTTTTAGTACACTCATGACGGATGGTTAGTAGATGACGCTACAGTCAATGCTAGACTTTTTGTAAAGGAGAGTTTCCGACCCCTGGTCGGAACCGTCTCATCTTACTTGAAGGAGCAGCGTTGTAAAGGGAACCGAAACATGTGTTCCAGGAGTGGATTCCCCTACTTCGACAGGCCTGGTTTACTTGATGTAAGTGGCTCCTGCAGCGAAGACGGCTGTGTGCGTGGAAATGTGTTAAGAAAATATTCTGTTTTCCGCAGCGTTTAAATGGGACTCTTCTGCTCATTACACACATTTTCACGCAGACAGCCGTCTTCGCTGCAGGAGTCAAGTAAGTGATGACAGAAATGGGATGTTGGCTTCTACAGGGTGATTCTCTCTGCGCGCAACACAATAGCCGTCCCGCACAATGGAACCCTGCGGTTGTTGCAGGTAAAGAGACCCAGGGGCCATATCGCCGGACCCAAAACTGCTCTGTGTGTGTTTATGGCTGAGACGAAAACAAGAAACGGAACAGCAGGGGTTCTATTGTGCGGCACGGCTTTTGTCTTACGTAGCGAGAGAATCACCCTTGTATATGATCGTTTTAGTTTAACCCTTTCGATACAGCTATATCGCTCGCCAGTATGATTCTACCTCTAGGGATATTCGCGAGTAAAATTCCATTTTACGGGGCAATTATAACGCATGCACGCACTTTACCGTGAAGTGGATATAACATTTGATGGCTGATAAAATAATGTAATTTGCTGGTAAATTGTGAACCAATACAACACATCGATGGGTGAATACAGGGTGTCTTGGGTCGGATAGTACAACCGGGCAAGTGCCGGTTTTAGCAATATTGGCGCCCTGGGCAAGATTATCATGGCGCCCATTGAAATATATGTATGCATATAGCATATATGTAATATTACATATGAGATGTAGATAGAGAAAAGAGACAATGAGAAAATATCGGTATATTTGCATACTAGGGACACCGGGCTGCGGCGCTCCCTACAGATCTAGCGCCATGGACGATTACCCGACCACCCCTCCTAACGCCGGCACTGAACCGGGCAGAGGGTGATTTTATAAGCAAAAATTATACTTCCGTATAACAGTTCACATGGGAGAATTTGAATTGATATTTATGTTATTATTCATCTTCCTTAATCATATACTAAATTTTATAATATTCAATAATTATAAACTGTATTATTTTGTTTCTAAATCATTTTTAATATTATTATCATCAAAATTAAAGTTTTGCCTCTAACATCTTTTTACATATAAAAGCCTACTTTGCTCGATACTGCACATCTTCGTCTCGGAGAAGAATCATTTAGGAGTGGGGAAACTGCTTCATCATTACAAAACTTCCTACTATTAATCGTAGATCGATAAATCGCAGTAGTTGAGACAATGATGCCCATAATAAGTTCAACAGCACTCATGCATCTGTACGTGGGACTTGTTTGAGCGTCCCTGGGTTGAAAGTATGATAGCGCAAACTCGAAATATATACGTACCTCATACCCAAGTTCCCTGAGGAATAATCGGATCAAGGGTGGTTCCGTGCCGAAGAACTTGGTGAGCTTTTTCACCCTTGAAGGATTGGAAAGGGCTGGCAATTCGGAGTCCTTGATTAGTGGTTGGGACTGTGACCTCACCATTGCCATGCTCGTTTGTGTCCTCAGTGCAGCAATCTCGCCCCTTATGTTCTCCATTTCCTGCGAATACCTGGTAGTAATGAGTTTCGGAAATTCCAACACGATTTTCTATTTACCTATTCTACTATTCTCTTGTACCCCCCACTTTTCATTTACATTGTGTACGTACTTTGATAGACAATTTAATATCTATGTATTTTACGAGAAGTTAAAATGTAAAACTTTTTAGATACTTAATTTCTAATCATTTCTAAATTTGCTGTTTCATATTAAGTGCCCAATTTCAAAATATTAGAAGTTTGATATGATTTGATAACATAAAGGTACAGTGGAATTTCGATTATTCGAGGTACTTTTAACCCTTTGAAAACAAATTTTTAGTACTCATTCGCAACTCCGATAAATTTTTATAATTTATATAAGTATAATCAAAGGTTTGACTTGGTTTTTCTCAAATTTTAAAACTTTAAAATTAGAAAATTAAAAAATGAGGGGACTAAAATTCTTAAATTTTTAAATTTTATTCTTGAAATTCTAATAATTTTTAATAATATAGAAATAAGTTGGAGATGAAAAAACTGGTGGTACCTATTTGAACCATTAGTCTTGAGGAAAAAATATCAGTTCTTAAGAGAACAATGTTAATATATGTCAAGGTTTCTCAAACACGACACTGTTTTGCACTTAAACAAATATATTTATATTTACGTAATGAAACATGGGACATAAAATACATATTCAATAGTTTAAATAACTTATACGCGTTTTACACAACAAAAAGCTATTTCGTGAAAGAACGATCGCAACACCAAAAACAGAAAAGAAGGACGAGCACTCTTGCGACTTTGTTAACTTTATACATATTAAATAACAGCATTACTTTTGAATCTACAACGGTAGAAATTGGCCAATTTTGAACCTCACAGTTAATACAAATTTTTTTTTTTAAATTATCAATGTTTTCACTGATTGCTCATTAATTTTAAATATAATTAAATTATAATTTGTAGTTTTCCTTATAGTTGTAATGTTTAACTAGATTTTTTTTTAATTTCAAAACTATTACAGCTTCAAATCGTCAGTTTTTACAATTAGTTTCCTTCAGAATTTAGGTTCATTTTTTTTCAAAGGTTGATTATTATTCGTTTATGAAATAAATAAATAAATATTAACGAGATTCTCTCACCTGTATCATTAGATGTTGGGTTCTCATCTCTGAACTTAAGTGTGCCACCGATCTCGCAAGTGTGACTACGTGAGATTCTAATCGTTGAAAGCGTTTATTTATACTCTGTAAACATGGAATACGTTTGCAATCAGTAATTGAAAAGAAAAAATTAGTTAGTGATTTATGTATTCTTAAACATGAGAGTCAAGTAATGTAAAAGAAACTATAAATATTAATTGACATTTTATAAAGTATATTTCCTTGTTACGTTTAAGCTTTTTGAATTTCACATTTTTTCATGAAAAAAAGGTACCTTTATTTTTTAGTAAAATGGGTATTAAGCTTTCATAAGGAATTACATTTAATTCAATTGCAAATACCATATATTGTACTTAATCTTATTATATTTTTAAAATAAATAGTACATCCGTGATGGGTACTAATTTTGCAAGAACCCAACGATTTCAGGTACCCGACACTCGAATCGGGCCGGGAATCATTTCAGTTGACTCGATATTTCTGAAATTTGAATAACTATATTTTGAAACAAACTTTATTAAACATGGCCGTAAATTAGAAGTGTTCAGAGAGAGCGGTATTTAATTCACCCCGAGACGGTCAAAATTATTGCCAACCTGATTGGACTATCGGGGACTGGAAATTTTCAAGTTCTCGAACTTCTGTACTTTCGAGAATCCGACCAAGTTCGATATTTTCGGATTCTAGCATACGTCTACTACACACATGTCGCATACATCTGTATTATATTCTGTTATTAATATTTATATATAGTTTTATTAATAGTTTCCATCCCTTTCCTATGGGTTCCCTTGCATGAATAATTCTATACAGTGTATGTTTAATAAAACAGAGGTTTCGTATAGGTATAACTGACCTTGATGTCTTTGGCTTTCTTCATCCTATCGTCAATAACATGGGATCTACGTTTATCATGATGCCTGGTGACAGGTCTAGACGAAACGGATGATGTTGGCAATGAGGAGACCGAACCGTAACTAGTAAGACCTCTAGCCTTTCGTTTTTTCTTCACACTCCCACCTAGCAATTTTAGTACCTGCAATCATCAATAAGGCACCTTTTTATTATGGTTTCTCGTGAGTCGACGTTACTTCTCTCACTTACAGTGAATTACATAATTGATCAGATATTTCCTAGATATGAACGGGTTTATTCATTAATTAATATTAATGTTAAATTATAAAAATAATAAAAAAATTATTATAAAAATGATACACATATGATATGTGTACACAAACAATGAGAAGTAATGAAATTAAATCACACAAGATTATATCTAATGGTATATCTTACCTCGCTGTACATATTCTCTAAGCCTTCCAACTGCTTCCTAATGGTTCTGGCATCATTTGTGCTCAGATCAGAATCGCTCCTATCCAACATGGAGTCTAAATCGAGTCCAGTTGTAGTCGATGTTAGATCTCCCGCTTCGACGCCGAAAACTAAGGATGAATAACAAAATGAAGAACAGATAATTTTTTAAATCCTAATCTTAAAATTCTTATTAATCTTAATTGGCTAAGTGTTGATAAGGCAATAATTTTTATAAAATCGAGTTCATAATTAGCAATTAATCTAACTGTAAATACAATTAATCTTGAAATGAATAAAATATATTCATGAAAATTTCCTAAATATAAAAATTTATTATAACGAAGTAATAAATAAACACCAACAGTAATTGAAGTTGATGAATAAATTAAAAAAAAATACAGGTGTAATATTGAATTTCATCCTCCCAATATTATTTCTAATAAAATTTTTATTTAAATTACAAAATCACCAAATCAGCTCATAAAAATGGTTAATATTCCAGAATTGATCTGTAATCCGGAGTTCAATTATTCAAATGGGACACACACGTATCGTTGGCCATGAAGTGGTTAACTAATTGCAAGTATCGTGGGATAAGGTATTACTTACGATGGGAGAATTTCTTTGCCGTCTCTTTCTTCGAAGTCGAGGCCCCACGATGCTTCGAATTGCCCGAGAATCCTCTTTTTTCCATGACCTTGCTGTAATCGCTGTAATTAGGTTTCGATCCGTATGGTAAGCTAAAAGACCCACAAACATGCAACTGTTAAGGTTACCGAGAAAGCAGTGGAAGACGGTTAAGTATCGTGAAAGTATGTAATATAGTATAGTCGAACGAACAGCTCGCTTTTAGTTAGCGTCTAATGAATCATTAGCTACACTAAGCCGTATTAATATTTAGTTACCACGACATTTAAGTAATTATTGTTTGATACGAGAGACGGAAAGCATATGAGCCAGTATGTTATGTACGAAATTACAAATCGAATGGAAATACAATAAACATTTGTTAATCTTGCTAGATGCATTTATTTGCCAAAAGTTCTGATAAATATTTTGACTGTTAATTAATTGGTTCATATTTTTCCTCTTTTCCATATTTATAATGATGTTAAAGAAGTAATTGTTATATAGTATGATAAGGAATTTATTTTAGTTAATAGAAACACAAGTTTCATTAATTTAATATAAATATTTTTATAAGTATACCCTAATACTCTGTTAGAGAGCTTAATTTTTTCAAAAAATCAACCATGGGTGATGTGCTTTTATATTTCTTATATGAAACAAGTCTTATATCATTGATTTTTTTTCAAATCATATCTTAACACCTTTTTATGCAGATCAATAAAAAAATCAATTTTGTTTGTAAAAAAATATACAGTTTGGTTTAAATAAGTACAGTTGATCTTTAAATCTTTTAAGAACCTTCGCTTAAAAGAAATATTACTGCTATGTTATAGCCTTTTAGATTTCATATATATTTTATTAATAAATTTGTTTTATGTTTTTACTATCAATGAAGGTATTTATGTAATTTAGATATTTCGTTCTATTTATTGTGATTAACCCTATGTAATAGTTGTTAATAGAAAAAGTATTTTGGGTTATCTACAATACATAATTCGATAGAGACGAATCCAAAAGCCTTATTTGGGGGCGGGGGTATGAAATATGTAAAAGTATATTTTTGAATCTCCTTTGACACACTTACAGTAAATACCTGTCATTAAATAAGTTATTCATTAATGAAAGATCAAATATAAAACGTATTAAAATGTAATAAAAATTAAAAATTAAAAAATTACCAACAAAAGCAATGTTATTTCACGATATAAATAAATTTTTTTTAGGATTTTATAACTGTTGAAGAGACGATCGGCCCCATCGCCCCCCTCTGGATTCGCCCCTGTTGTAGTTTCATCGGTTGGTCGCTTCAGCACACCGATATCGGTGTTTCAATCTACGCGAAGGGTAGAAATAATCGGAAGTAGCCCGGGGCAGTGACCGGAAGTGACATCGGTTACGAGACGAAGAGATCTGTTTGAAGTAACGTTACCTCGCCGAGTATCGATTTCTCGGTGTTCTGGGACTTTCATGGGGCGAAAGCGGCGGCAGGGGTGGTGTTACCGATGATACACTTTCAGATAAAGTGGAATGTGCCATCGCAGGGACATCTCTTGGCTCCAGAATACTCCTCAACTCTGATTCAACGATGTCCACCCACTCAGAGTCTTGTACTGTACAAACGAGAAAGAAGAGTGACATTTAACAAACAGTGAGTGGCTGTACTGAAAAAAAAAATACACATCGATCTGGTACAACAAAAGTAAGGATTGTCTTCGAAAACATGAACGCCCAATTTTAATTATTTATGAGTAATTAAAATGATTAGTCACCTTTCATAACCAAAAGATCCATAGCCTTTAAAAATCATTAAACAATACTGTGAATTTAAGAAAAGGATGTTAAGAATAGATGAAATTTGGTACTGATCGAATTTGGGAACAAAACATTTTTTCACAACATGATTTTACATGTCTTAAGAAACGGGAAAAGTACTGCATATCTGGTCCTTCCAACATTGAAGGGAAAATAATTAAAAATACAGATAGGTATAATGTAATTAATTGAACTACTGATCGTCGGCCTTATTGTTTATGGATGATAGTGAAATAGTTGGTAAAATAATCATTTAGAAAATAATAAAGTAATTAATTGTTTTCAGCGTTGTGATGATAAGTACAAATATTCATGTCTACCAATCTATAGTGATAGAAAATAATTTAAGAAAATGAAGTTAAAAGTACCAATGGAATAGCTAGGCAGAAGCTACCCACTCTCACCCTTATGGACTAGTTCCCTCATTATTCTAAAATTCAAAAATTCTAAGTTTCCGAGATTTTAACATCAAAAATTATCAAATTTTCAGATTATAAAATTCTACGGTTTCAAAACCTTGAGATTCTAGGATTTTAAGGCTCTCGTAAAAGCGTAAGTTAAACGAAATGCAAAAGTTAAACGCTTGACACTGTTAATAAAGCTAAAGGAGCAGGCTCACCCCATCCAAAATTCCTAGTTACACCAATGTAATCTAGTATGCAGGGAATTTATACTTTGTAGAAGACAATGTACAATTAATCTTGTTAGCATGTAGGATTTACTGTACATACGAACTATGTCAGCGAAATGAACTTTGAAATTGCAACAGCGACATTCATCTCAATTCTGTTACTTATACACATACAGTGCGTCAGAAAATTATTGGCACATGCAAAAGCTTGACAGAAATTGGCAACGTAAAAATTGACGAAAATACAGCTTTAAATATTATTCATTTACAGCTACAGAGTTCATGCGCGAAAGAATGAATATTATTTTTTAAAAAAGAACAATAAAAATGAAATATTTTATACAGAATTTGAAATATCTTTTGAATTGTCAATATTTTTAACATCGTAACTTGTTATTTTTTTTCATCTGTGCATCTACGCAAAATCTCGGTTTTTGATTGACAGTGGTACTAAAGGAAGATTCGTTTACCCCTGCAGGCATGGTGCTAATAAAAATTTGTAATGACTTTTCTATAATATAAAAACGGGAGTAATTCAAGGCCTGCAAACACATTTACTATCACGGCTTCTATAAAATTGCGGGAATCGACTTACAAGATTCTTCCAGTGGAGCTACAAAAATACAAGGTTGATGGTCGATACGTCACAGATACGGCTTTTTTGACCTGTCTCAACAACGTATGTTTTGTTGAGTTTATCACCGACTCTCACGAAATACGTGGTTTATAATCGTTTCCCGTGAGATAGTGGTTTCTTATTAGGAGCCATTGATACACAAGGTATAATCTGTAGCAGCGATTCTCAACCTTTTCATACATGTGTACCACAGAAACCAAAATTCAGGAATTCCAGTACCATTAAGAGAAGTATGTACTTATGTTCTCGAGACTATCAAGCAAAGTAGGTTTCCCTAGGGAAAATGGCGATACAGGGGAAGCAGCGATTCTCAAACCCTTAATTTTCAGGACATTAATATTAAAAATAATTTAGAAAAAAATTAATGTAATTTTGAATTATTGAATATTATAAAATTTAGTATATAATTAAGAAATATCAATAACAAAATTACTATTAATTCAAATTCTCCCACGAAAACGCTTATACGTAATTGGTAGGAGGCTACAGATGTATATGTATGTATACAAGGTGTCCAGGAATAGGTAGGACTTTTAAGAGATAATTTTGAAGGTCAAAATAAGACGAAAACTAAAAATGACGAAACAGCGCCGCGGCTTTGTTTTTTAGTTATAAACGTTAAAAAATTCGAATGAAAAGCGTCTAAAACCGGCAATCTGCACAGTACCGACGATTGAACATCGTGCCAGTAGGGATGTGTGAAGTTATTGCCAACAGTAATTGAATACTAGAAGCTTAGAACGTGCTATTCTGTTCGTAAGTACTGCAATAGTTAATGTAACGCGTGAACAATAGACAACCCAATATTAATTTTAGTGAGTACAGTGTGGGTTATAACATTTCCTCCGAGTTTAATAAAAATGGTTTAATATTAAGCAACGATTTGTCAGCACTTTATTTTTCATACTGTAATAAAAAGGAACACAATATCACGTGGTAAGGTTCTAGTATTCAATGACTGTCGCCTATGACTGTATGTGCCCCAATTAATCACTTATAATACCTCTTATTCAGTTGTCGGTGCTGTGCAGATTGCCCGATTTAAGTGCTTTTCACTCGAATCTTTTAACGTTAATAATTAAAAAACAAAACTACGAACGCTATTTCGTAATTATTCATATTTGTCTTACTTCGACCCTTAGAACCATCTCTTAAAATTCGCCCCACTTCTTGTCGAACATACTATATATGAAGCTGTTTTCCCTACATTGCCATTTTCATTAGGGAAACTTGATTTAATCACGAACATACACAAGAATAATTGTACAGAGAACACTAACATATACGATTACCAAACCATATTAAAATTGTTGTACTGTATGTTACAGTTGCCTTTCGCGTATCACTAGTTGAGAACCGCTGATGTATAGTGTTAAGAAACCCATTTGTTTCATTTTATTTTGTCTCATCGTACTGTAAAATGAAACTACGTAAAATTAAAACTACGTATAAAAGGTATGGCGTTGAAGGAAGCTCTTTTTGTCAGGTAGATGGTAAGGTACTTACGTCTTGTAAAGAGTACCGCGTATAGCAAGAGATCAGTTTGATCTTTAAATCTCTGCAAAGTTTCAATGCAAAAAAAGAACTTATTACTGTACTGCTAAGGCGCTTTTGATACCATATAACTTGTCTAAAGCAACCTTTTTCATACTTTGATAAATAAGCAAAATAATCCTCACTTTTGTTTATTATTCTACATAATGACGTTAGATGTCACACCGTGAAATGTCAAATTTCTCAATTAAGTGTTTTCATGATTGGCCGATTCTTTTCAATGGCGCTTACATCGATTCGGAGGAGGCCTCAAAGGAGTCTGTGGAGATATATGGATGTGACGCCTTCAACGCGCATGCGTCTTCTACTCGCGGGTCTTGCCACTCAAGCTGCGCGCTGATTGGTCAATTTTCAACAACGAAATGTGGCTAAACTACTGATCCCATTGAAAAATGTTTCAGAACTTTTCATTTTGATTTTTCGTGATCTATTCAGCGGTGTAGAGGTCTTAAGGGTATTTTTTAACACCTTGTATAGTATGTCCTCATATGAGGACGCCATGACCGGAAGGGTTATGTTAAGTGACTCACAGCAACTCCTCGTCTAGCAACATTAACACATTTTTGCACAACTCAAAGGGAGATGGGTATTTGCAAAACATTTGAAACATGCATCACAGCAAACAGGCATAACTGAAGTTTAAACAACAAACCTGGAGGATGAGTTTGGTCTTCCGGTGGTGGTCTCCTTCCGCTGGAATAAACAGCAGATCCTCTTCCCGAATCAACATTGGAGGAGCTTTGTCCAGCTTTGTCATAATCCGATCCAGATCCTTGATTCTGAATCTTCAATCGGCCAATGCTATGTTCCAGATCGTCTTTCCTCGTTTCTGATTTCACTGTTGACTCCTTTGAATATTGATTCTCGGCCCTTTTTGAGCTATCGGCATTTCCAATCTTCGAATTGGATGAATTTCTGGCTCCGTCCGTTTCCATACCTTCTTTGGACGATTTCGAAGAGTAATGATTCTCTTCAGCACGCTTCTGTAACTCCTCGATCCTCTTCTGAACGGATGTTGCTTCTGATTCTTGATTGTCTTGGCCAGATATTCCCACTTGTTCCTGTTCTCTCTTCGAACATCTAACTGTGTCATCTCTACGAATACCGAAACTGGTCTCTGGCCTGTATTCGTCCTTTCTCTGAGAATCGCTTCGACCAAACTCGCCAAGCCCACGGTCTTCCACCGTGATTTCGTACCTTTCTTTATCTAACGGATCCACCGTGAGAGCCTTCATAGCGTCAACTGGATTTCTAGATTGTTCGTTCACCCTTTCGTCTTCGTAACAGAGTTGAGGTTGCGATGCGGCCTTTTCGATGCCCTTCGTCGAGTTTCGTCGCTGAAATTCGACTTCCTGATTGTTTTCGGTCTTCATGTACACCTGAGGCACTCCGTACCTTGGTCGACCTTGGGCGTAATGATAGTACACTTCTTGCCCAGACAATCTCAGCTCCTGTGTCTGCCTCGAAGTACTAGGCAGGTCGATTTGAGACCTTGACATTGCCTGTCGAGCCTGCTGATACTGTTGATAGGATACGTTATTCGAGAAGTAGCTCTGTTGCACGTTTCTCACGCCGGATGGAGTGTTTTGTTGGCCAGCAAGCTGCTGCTGATGCATCTGCTGGATCAGTTGACGTTGATGCATGTTCTGCGCGTGCTGCTGTGCGAACCTGGGACTCTGATGATGGTTTTGATTTTGATGCAAAAGCTGTTGCGGACTTTGGAAGTTTTGATTTGTTGGCTGCATAGTGTTTCCTACTGCATGTTGTTGCATGGGTAGACCGTGAGCCTTCTGCATTTGGGAGTTCTGTCCCTAGTTAAATAATCATTTGCATTAAAAAATAATAGTTCTGAGCGAAAAATGAATGTCCAAATTAAATTGGAATGTAAATCATTGGCAACGAATAGCGGATAGCGAAAATGAGTAATGAATAAGCGAAATGTATGAATGGAAAATAAGAGTATGGTAAAATAGACGAGATTTGAAAAAAGGCGTACATGTGCGCGTGGACGCTAACTTTCCTCGGGCAGAAAGGGGGCCGTTAACCCCTAGATAATGCCGCCCTCAAAATCGAGGGAAAAATATCAATCAATCAAGCGACATTTATTTCGCAATGTGACAGGTGCGTGTTAAGTGCGTGTGTCACATACCCGAACTTCTCGCCGTCACAAAGTATCAATATGATACCGACAACAACACCTTCAATTCACACGTTATGCCGTTGATGAGTCATATCGGAAGAATCATGAAAATCTGTCGTTAGTAGCTTGTTTGAAATTCTTCCGTAAAGCAAGGTGCTACATCAGGTAGCTGACAAGGATTGTACGTGCAGTGTATGTTGTGTCGCGTGTGGTCGGCTTTAAATGGTATAAATATAGAACACGTATCACGTACTGTGGATATTTGAATAGGACCTCCAGTGTCGAGCGCACCAACTTTCCCTAGGGAAAAAGACGGTGTAAGTTATAAGGGAAGGGACCCATCACTCGATGCAATACGCGAGAGATACTACGTGATTTTCATAAGGCAAATATTCGGTTTAATTCGTTTCAAAGTGAATTGGTTCATTTAGTAACGACTAAAGCAATCAATGCATATCATTCCTAGGGGTAATGTGTTGTCAAATTCGAATATTAACACTTCCGCGATAGGCGATAGCCAGCAAAACGTTTAGCTGAATATGGCATATAATTTCCAATAGTCTGAAAGATTATGTAGTGCATATGCAGTGGTGACCCACCAAAACAAAGCGGAAATACTGCATATGCAGTAGTAGTCGCCCGCGAACGTGTTAACTTTTGTTTGAAACCGGTGAGGGGAAAATAGATGCAGAATGGGGGTACATTTCGTAACTGTTAACAATATGGATAAATAGGCCATTATTCGTTATTGATGAATGAATCAACTTAAATTTGAATTTACCAAAGTAAATTCCAGATTGAATAAAGGTATTAATTTTCGAATAATAAAGTGATTAGCGGAGCCTCCATCCTCTATTTCGTCTGTTTCCCCAGGGCAAGCTAGTATGTTCGTCACTGCACGAATCGCGCTATAGCCCCTTCTAAATTTGTACGAGAAAAGGTTATCTTCCCTTACGTAAAAACAACCTTTCCAGAGATGATGGCGGAAATAGCCTCCGGCAATTTCATTTGACGCGTATCGGAAACGTTCCAATCATTCCTTATTTAAACGGTATTTCCGCATGACCGATTTCTGAGGAGAAATTGCCTAAACTAGGAAGGGGGAACGCACCCCCTTCGGAACATCGATTTTATCAAAACTTTATATGTACAATTATATAGAACGCCACAAGCAATAACTGCGCATATTTAAAATTGCGTAATTCATCGAAATAAAAGGGAAATTTAGATTTAAAGTTTTTGTAGTGTTTGAATTAGACAAAACCGGGAATCCATTATATAGCGTGGTAAAAAAGTAAAAATGCATAATGATCACGTCTATCTTTGCTTAAGTTGTTTTAAATGCACTTTAATTTCCATATTGAATAGCTAACAGATGCAATTAAAAAAATCGCGCAGTTAACAGAAACGAGTTTTTAAACTTAATATTAAGGGCAGCTTTAAGGGTTTGTAATTCTTATTTTAAAATAATTGTATCATTTTCAATAGTTTTGATACGCCATCAATTATTTTCTATTATAAAAATTTAAAGAAAAATATTACCCATAAATAAATTATCACCTTGCAGCTTGTATTATTTCGATTCTTTCATGAATTTTATGTATTTTATTCAACGAATAAAATATATAGATGTTTTAGGATAAAATATATGGATGTTTTAGGATAAAATATTTTATTCCATGAAATAAATTTTTGAAATAAAATTAAACAATTGTACTTTGAAAACTTATTCCAATAAACAAAATATTTTATTTCCACAATTATATTCATGATTTGAAATAAGATGAACTATTTGTTATTTATATTATTTGAAATAATACTTTAACCGGTATTACCAAACACAATTTCACGTTCAGAAAGAATTCTTACGTTGAATGCTTGAAATTGAGATGAAAATTCCCAGTTAGAAGTGGTTCGTAAAAGGAAATTAAAGGTTACCTGGTTCTGAGAATTCTGATGTAGTCCTTGATGCAATTGCTGACTTGGCAATCCAGATGGTCCCTGAACAACGTATTCCCTAGCAACATTTTGCACCTGTTGACCACCTGTCGCTGATTGGCCGAAAGTGGGAACTTGAGTTTGATGGACCGTCTGAACTCCTCCAGGCGGTGCATGGTGCGTCACGTGAAGCTGAGCACTCTGACCCGGCAAATTAGGTTGAAGCTGCGATGTCGGCTGAAGTTGTCCAGGAAGTGGGACGTTCTGTTGATTGCTCAGGTAACTATACGAGTGTCCATATTGACCTGGAGCATCAAAATGTTACACAAATATTATGTACTACATTTTATATTATAGTGTAGATCAGCTATTCTCAACCGCCGCGCCGGTCCGGCGGTTTTTTACCTTTTTTTTTTACCTGCCTGCGTTAAAAAATTTTCTTATAAAAAAACATAATAATAAAATTTTAATTTATAAAATTACAAAATAAAAATTTTTTTTGAACTAATTTTAAATTTACGTAATTTATGATTAGCACGGCATTGAAGACAAATTCCTGACAAGACAAAAAACAAGTTGAGAAATGCTGATGTAGATGGTACAGACTATAACCACTGCTGGCTACCCCATAGAGATTCTTAAAGTCATTTTTCGTGGTCAAATTTCAATTTCTTAATATTCATATTTTTCATTTTGTACATATTTTTTGTTCTCTAAAACAATGATGCACTTTTATCATATCTGGGGCTACTCACTCTCGAATAATGTAGAGTAGGTATATTGACTGCCCTGACATTCTCGAACTTATGATACATATACGTATGGCGTGTGATTATATTATAAAAATAATAGTACAAATTTTTCAATAGGATCAATTTTACTCCAAAGTTGTTTAATTAAACAATGAAACGAATTTATTATCGAACTAATTTTTACACCATTTAATTCATCGAGTAAAGTTGTAATGTAAAAATACATGTCTTAAAAATTTTAGGTAAAAAGAAATTGGTACTTCATTTTGTTAATGGGTAAGTGTTTATTATATTATAGAACTTATTATATTTAATAATTAATAAGTAATAAAAACTCCAAAAGATTATTCATCAATAATAATTAATAAGTAATAAAAACTCAAAAAGATTATTCATAAATAATAATTAATAAGTAATAAAAACTCAAAAAGATTATTCATAAATAATAATTGCAAGTTATAAATTTAATAATGAGGAACAGAATTAATTAATTTCGCATTGCAAAATAGGCGAGTTATTTCTTGCAAAAAATTATTCTTCAAACGGAACAATTTGTTTAAATTATCTGTTTATTAATTACACATTTTATTCCTCGTTATATTAAACTTTTGTTCGTTAAAAGTTATAACTGTGATTGAAATAAAAACATCACGTGTAACTACTAAAGGTTCTTCAGCAACCATTTTCTGGAGCTAATTAAAAACTACTGCATTGTTAGGAGGTCATCGTTCGATATGCTCTACGAAGCAAGCAAAAATAACAGTTTTCATGAATGGCAATAAACTGTGACGCATGAGTTTAGGAAATGTTAATTATACTGACTAACAAGTTCCAACTGTTTTTGTGTTTTCCGATATCCAGTATGCATTTCTTACAGTTTCATGCGCTGATTACTAATCAGTGAACCGTTTTTTCCATCACTTTCAGTTTTTTAGAAAGTTGGTTTTGACAAAGATTCAAACTTCAGTTGATTTTTTCAAATATATTGGTATTAATTTTTAGTTTAAATATATAATATCATTCAAAAGTTTGGAGGCAGTTAAACAGATTCTCAAAAGGATAAGTTAGAAATTTTTTATTATAATTAAAATAATTAAGATATCGATGACCAATTTGATACTGGTAATTACCGATTGTTTTCAATGGTAGTTAAAATTCTACACAATTTGTTTATTTAAATAGGTAGACCTCTGAAGTTACTTCTTAAAGATGCAGAAGTTTTATTATAATTTTGTACGGGTTCAAAGAAGCTTTGAAACCAAAATTGACTATCAGAAACCGATTAAAATTGATTTCAGAGCTGAATGTCTTACCGTTTTAGAAATATCGTGGTAAGGAAGTTTTATACAATTTTGGGACTACGTATGCGCCATTCGATACTGAGCATGCGCTATTCGATACTGCGCATGCGCTATTTGATACTGCGCATGCGCTATTCGATACTGAGCATGCGCTATTCGATACTGCGCATGCGCTATTCGATACTGAGCATGCGCTATTCAATAATCCGCATGCGTTATTCGATACTGAACATATGCTATTCGATACTGCGCATACACAGAAACTAACTTTACCACGATATCTCGAAAACGGTAAGACATCCAGCTCTGAAATCAACTTTAATCGGTTTCTTGTAGTCAATTTAGGTTATATACCGAACCTGAGTTCTTAAAAAAACATTTAAGCCGTAAAGGTTAAGATAAATGGTTCTGTCTTGAAGAAACACTTACCGCAAGCATTTTTCGGATATTGTTGCATATTAATGGAAGGTTCCTGTGCCCGTGGTTTCCCATAAATTCCTTCCTTCTTCTTTGCCTCTTCTTCGTCAATGCTTCTACTAGACTTCCTTAATTCCTCCGTGACGTTATTTAAGCTCGCTTCCGGTTCCGCTTCGGTGTCCTTACGATTTTGACCGAAACGACTGGATATCATGTCCTTAATTGTATGGTAAGTCCTCGATAAGGACTTGCTCTTCTCTTCATCGATCTTCGTCGTCCTCGGTGCCGATGCGGCGGACGTCGACCTTCGTAGAAATCGGGATTTTATTGGAAAAATCAATTCATAGATTCATCGAGCGGTATTATCGAGGAAATATTTACGCGTAAGATTCCGGGGCTTGATAATTCCTTGTTTGACCCTCTTGTCTCACTTCTTGCATCTGACTTCCCTGAAAAATTATTACATTTATTTTTTCAAATTGCATTTCAAAATATAAGAGGATTTCAGATTCTTATTGACTCATATTTTATTCAGTGCTGGATAAAGAGAAAGTTTACGGGGGCTATAGACCCAGGCCATATTTTGCAGGAGGCTTCTTTATAATCTTTTTTTACTGTTGCCCTATTTCTTTATGATGTTATTTGATTTTATTTAGAATAAATTTCAACTTTCGAACCAAATTTATTAACCAATGAAGCGTTTTAAGGTTTGATAGCCCTAGGCCTCAGAAATCTTAACCGGTCCTGATTTTACCGATTGGAGCTTCGAATAAAATAAACTTAAATTTTATTACCTATATTTGCCAATATAATTAATAGTGTTTGATAATCTGCACCAAAGTAATAAATTAAGGTGCTGGAAATGTAAAGAAGTTCACAGTATTGGTTCATTAAGTATGAAATGTGGCCAATTAAAAATAAACTTTTGCATTCTTTTGGCAAGCAAAAATAATTTTCTATTAGATAAAGTAAAAAAAGAAATTCGGTGAAAAGGCTTTGCCCTTCCCCTAATCTAACCTAACCTAACTTAACCTGATTTCTATTTTGAAATCATACTCATGGGAAATAAAAACGGGGTTAGGGTTAGATTACGTTAGGGTGTTTTCATAGGTGGGGCGCAGAAGGACGGGATGAGCCCCTTCCCTAACTATACATCGATTTCAATACTACTTTGAGTTAGGAAAATAATTCAATTTTGTACATTTTTTTGTTAATAAATTTTTAATAAACATTGACTGACGGTTAAGTTATAAGTAAAGATCAATGGAAGGGTGTCCCCTATTCAGTATATTTACCAAATTTAATTACATCCTTTTACACATCTTAATGGGGGAACACGCATTTGCAATGGGTGTAATACAGTGGTCCATATGTATGTAACGTAATAGATAGAAAGAACAGTGTACTAACTGTTGAATTTTATCTGCTTTTTTAATTGTTAATTTATTGCACGTTTAAGTCTATAATATTATATATTACTTCCAGTGCCTTTTGTAAATCATTCTATAGTGTAGGTGCTGGCAATATGGAACATGTCGAGTACGGGCAATATGAAACATGTCCCATGTTCAAATGCTTTTTTTCATCACTCTCACGATACAAAGGGGAATAAAACGATCTCATATGTAGCAATCAAGAATACATGTGTATACCCTTGGTTTGATTCTACATATTTTAATCGAATTTTCAGAAATTAAGCTTTACCTTGTAGCCTATAAGTTGTCTTACTATAATTAATATATATAAATGATTTTAACCATTGAACAGCCCAGCCTGGGTCAATCGTGACCCAAATTTACAAAACGTATACAAGGATATTAAATTAAAGTATAATATTTAAACGAAAGAGTTTCATTGCAATAATTTTTATAGGAACAATGTAAAATTTGGAAAATGAAAAATTACATTAAAATTGTGGCTCTCTCTATGGTCCGCCAATTCATGGATTAACTGGTGTGATGAAATGCAATTTTGAATAAGATGACCCTATACCTTTGTAGCTTTACAGAAATTTCCGTCTCTTATTTAACACGGAGATTTCATAGCATTAGGGCTTAAGGCATACACGAAAATTATTCAAATCATTCCTCTCGCGGACATTCCTTCGAAACGAAACAAATTTCTCGCTGAACCGACACGCAGGGAAATTTCCTGACAGAATTTGCCTGGAACCACCGAAAACAATTCTCTGTCGAAGAAAACGGAGAATGGCTAATAGCAGCGTGTCCGTTCAAAACCGCAGAGAGAATTTCAAAGTTGTCAGACTGAATCCTCCGGTTCTTAGGAAGGGATGTGGTTGGAATAACAACTGACATTGTTAAGCGAAAAGATAGAGAGGAGGGGGTGAGAGAGATAGAGAAGAAGAGTGAAGTTATACCCCGTAGGGCTACGCGACACGCTTTACGCATACCAAAAAGGATTTTCTGATTTATGGTTCCCCCACAAGTAACGATTATCGTGTAAGGATTATGCTACGTTAAACTAACGTACAGTTACTCATAAAATTGAATGTACACGCGATACGGAAATCTTATTTGTTCAATAAATAAAATACAAATAATTTTTATGAGTTTTAGGTGAAATTTTTTATTTTTACGGAATATATCTTGTGCAAGTATTAAACAGCACGAAACACATAATTATTATATTCCTTCGGGTCATGGAGAAATGATGAAAACTTTAGAATTTTGCTTTCTGATCATTTTTCGTTATCTTTCGTTATCTTTTTCAGATAATGCTCCATCAGTGAAATAATCATTTAAAAAATTGACTGATAAATTCGTCATAAATGGATAAAACAAATGACAAGTAGGTAAATCCCAAACATTGTATTCGCAGCAGCAAGCAATGTATTTACAATTAATGAAAATATAAGCAATACATTCATTTAACCTTATTAATAAAAAATAAGAAAATATATTATTTAAAAGTGTCAGAAGTTATTTTGTGATATTTTTATGTCACCAAATTGTATCAAATTTTATGCTTACAAAAGTCGGTCATTGTTCACTGTAACTAATATAATAGCTTCACATTCAAAATATTGATGAACGATTGATGTATTCCAAGCAAAATTAAAGCTTTAAATTAATAAGATATAAGTGTAATTTTATAGTAAATGTTTCGAAATAGGCCATTTAACCTTGTCGGCCCTGTTGGTGGTAATTGCCACCTTTATTTAGAGCTCTGCTGTACTTGCAGTGAACCTGGTGGTAGCAATTGCCACGATGTCCTGGTTTCTATGTCTATAGTGGAAATTCGTTTAAACTTGCAGGGGAGTTCTTATGGCAGTAATAAACAATATTTTTTTTTGAGTATCAGAAAATTCAGAGCTGAAAGGATTAATATGCAACAATTTAGCAATATTTAAGACAACGTGAAAATAGGACATTTTGGTTATATTTGTCATGTGTATCTAACCATTCTTATTTTCTTTGTGATATAATTTCGCCTGAATAGAGAGTTGGGAAAAAGAAAACAAGACACAGTGTGTACTTCTGAACAATAGATATGGTGAGAAAATGAGCATGAAACAGAGAAATTATTGATGTCAACCATTCCATGATTATGAATTATAAAATGCAACTTTCAAGAATAAAATACTTTGTGCTGTTATCAAGGAATGAAGGAAAATGGAAAGTAACTTTCTCTGACGTTGGTTAATATTAAAAAAATATTGTAACTGTAAAGCGTGTAGTCGAACCAATTAATTTCAGTTAAATGAAAAATCTAATTCCAATATTAAGCTTATAAAACAAGATTATAATAATGAAACCTATTGAATGCCATTAAGTTTCGAAAACTTAAGAGGCTAGATGGATATCTCAGTTTTAGAAAACGAAATTGTTGTTTATTGTTTATGAAAGCCTCGTAACTTAGAAATTTTTAACAGAAAATTCCATAAAAAATTCTTAAAATGATAGATGTTGCAGTGTAAAAGATAACGACCGGCTTAACACAAGAAAACACGAACTTGTTTAAAAACTTTAAAGTCGTTTTTCTTACATGATCAACATGATATCTTGGGAATAGATTATTATGTTTTTATATTTTCGTTGAATCTACACAACAGTTTTCTCCACAGAATAAAACTTACTCGTAAGATTACAAACTCTGCTATATGTTATCAAACATTTAATGAAAAACGTAAAAAGAAATGTATGTCTAAAGGTGGTATCGTGTATATGACTTCGGGAATTATTTGCTAAAAACCTCCAAACACTATACTGTAAGTTCTGAGTTAAAGATGATAGAAGTACCTCCAATGAAATAATAGTGAAACATGCAAAAATAATTCTCATTTTTCGGGCATAATTCTGAAAGAAACGCATAATAATTACGATACATACGTTTCTAAAATTTTTCAAATCCTAAAACACAATTTAGAAAATCGTTTACTATTAGAGTGGTGATAATAATGTTGGTACAATTGTAAGTAGTAAAAAAATATGTTAATTTGTTCTATTTGTGGTTTGCATCGACGTTTCACCTACGAATCATTCAATGTAACTATCATCATTAAAATCATCTGCACTTGATATAATGGAATGAAGTTACACCAACCTTTTGTGTAAATCTTGTCTCTTAATCTTTAAATTCGTAGGCAAAAGCTTTCACTTCGACTCGTACATGATAGCTATTCCATCAAGAATTCAATTTCTGATCACTTTAGTACATAAATAACATATAGGTATATAAAAAGTTTATTATGATAGCCATTTATTCCAATAAACTATTAATGGAATTATTATTTATTATGAAATTTATATTCCACAATTAGATGTGTATGAATAAAAAAAGGTATTGAACTCATTGATGTAACTCGGATTGTCTTAAGTTAAATTTAGTTCCTTAGCTTTATTAACAGTATTAAGTGCTTAATATTTTGCACAATTTTAAGAAAAGGTCCTTGAATTTTTCAATTTTTGGATTTTTGGATTCTTGAATTTTTGTATTTTTCGATCTTTGAATCTTTGGATTTTTGGATTTGAATAAATAGGTTACTGTAGTGAGAATATTAAAAACAGATTACTGAATTGGAAATTGCTATCGAATCTTTTTACTTTCAAAATAATAAAAAATATATACTTTAAATTGAGTAATTCCTTATCACAATTTTATGTAAAAAATTAAAAGATACTGTTAAGGTATTTACATCAGCAGTATACATACATTAAAAAATTGAAAGTTCTGTCAACTCCAGGATATTCAAGACACATATCTACTTATTGTTAGTTAAGTAGCGATAGCGTGTTTTCACTTAACCATTTTTTTAGTCAACACCAGAAAAGTTGATTTTTTCGAGTTTGGAAAAAGCAAATTCTTGAGCAATCGAGAACAAGCTATCGCAAAATTTAGGCAGTGGGAACAACCCTTTCAACCCTTAAAAGTTAGTGATAAAAGTTAAGTATCTTTGATGATATAGTTCAAGAATTTATTAAACAACATTACGACAGGTATGTTTAAATGGCAATTCGAAAAATAATTAAAATTTTAACGATTTAGTGTGGTACTTAGTCTCTAAGCATTTATAGCGTGAAGTTTTAAATTATAAATATTACTACGTATCAATGTTTAATGAAAGCAATTACAGAAATGATGAATGTAACAATTGGCCCATCAGCAAAACATTTTTAAATTTCAGGCTTGTTGTCAATGAGAAAAAGACGCACAGAGGAGGTATCATAGGAATGCGAATACTGCTTTCCAGGAGCTTGTGCATGGGCGCAATTGTTCAATCATGTCAGTTACCTATGTTTCGCATTTTCAAATAGAGTAACATAAGCACCTCCACTTTTCAATTGCTTTTTGTTCTTCTATTTTCTTAGCTTTAGAAAGAGACTACCATTAATATATCAGAAACTTGCAAAAGGCGTACGATATATTCTTACACGAAATCATAGTTGATTGTAATAAAAGATTGGATTCTAGAAAATATTAACAATTACCTTCAGATCAATATGCCTTTCAACTAGAATTATTAATTAATGTTATATTCCATCATAGATAATAGTTAGAAAGATGAAGAAATAAACAAAACAATGATGGGAGAGGAATAGAAAGAAAAATATATGACGATTGTAATGTGTTAGTAAGTAAAAGGCGGATGTCAACACACAGTGTGTCATTTAATTAGCGGTACAACCGGGAAAATTGAGATTCTACATGAAAACATAAAACAGAAATGTAAAATAAAATTTGTTCAAATCAGACTTTATTTCCAAAAAAACCGATTAAAGATTTTTTAAATATTAAATTGATTACCAAAATTATTAGCACTGAATTAATTCTTCATAAATTAACAACATAATCTAAACATTTATAAGGTATTTAAAATTCATATCAATGTAGTCAGTAAAGTCTACACAACCCTGATTTAAGAAGACTAAGCGGGGTTTTAATCTCCGGCCCACTTTGCAGAGGGCCCCGTTATAAATTTTTCATCCACTATATCACAAAATATTGAATGAAATTTTTTTTTACTATTGCCCTTTTTCTTTACGATTAAATGTAATTAAACTTTATTTGGAATAAATTTCACTTTTTAAACCAAGTTTATCAATTAAGCGGGCCCTCCAAGGTCTGATAGCCCCGGGCCCCAGAAATTTTAATCTATTCCTGAGTCTACAGAATTATTTTATGTAAACAAAAATTGAATATCGTTTATAAATACAAAAAGCTCAAATCTTTTAAAATTAAATTTCTCAAAACCTAGGGATGATGGAGAGTATAGGTTTCCAGATTTTTAATTGACTGAGTATCGGGATACAAATTGGCTGTCAGTTAGTCAGGGGTGAAGTGGTCGTCGGAAGTTTGGAGAAAGTTCTGGTAGGTCCCAGGAATCCCAGTAGGCATTTTGGGCCTAATGAATTAAAATTTAGGCCTGTATACTACAAAATAGTCCATGTCACTAATGTTCCACTAAAAATTTAAATCCTAGTCCGCTCCTGTGGTTAATGTTATTTAAATGCCATTGGTGTGCCAGTATGTTGGAGAAAGAGAATAATCTGATCACAGATCCATAAGATAATTTTCTACGTTCCTTGCACGCCCTTTGGCGTTAGTACCCTAAGCAACCTACAATTGTGGAACATTGTCCTGTGACACGTGCATTACCGACACCTACTCGCACCTTCAACAATTCACGTAGGTGTTGAATCACCGCATGAGCTGCACTCGCGTGAACTAATCGCGTCAATAAAAGATTTCGTAATAACTAAGATCTGACGATAGATTCTCATTAACCCCGTAACTGGCCTCTCACACGAACAACTAACAAACAGTAGAAACTTCTACAGTATCTTAGGTAAGACTAGATGTTGTGCGATTGAAAAATATTAAACACTTTCATCTTCTATGATTTTTTTACATATAATAAATAATATATATATATATATATATATATATATATATATATATATATATTATTTATTATATGTAAAAAAATACTTGGAACTAAACACATATTAAACTCTTAAAATAATTGAAACAAAAATATAAATTGCATCATGCATGAACACTAACAAGGAGAACTACCCAAGTGTTACACTCACTTATTAATGAAACTTTGCCAGCTTGTAGAGCTCGTCGAGCTGAACACGCCTATACCCTCTTTTGGGGGCAGACGGCTAATTGTTTAAAAGATATTAACAATTACAGTTAGTTATTCCTTACATTCTGAAGTATGACAAACTTACACATACAATTCGCAATCTAGAGATCCACGGTTCAAATCCTTGGTTCCCAACATTTTTTTTTTTTTTTAATGATAATTTGTCTCGTTTTGAATAACTATTACATAAAAATTACCATTATAAAGAAAAAAAAAAAACGGGAACCCAGGATTTGAACCGAGGGCCTTTAGATTACGAGTCATGTGTTTAACCATGGAGCAAATTCGTGACTTGCAAGTTAAAGGTTCTCGGTTCAAATCCTTGGGTTTCCAAAAAAATTTTTTTTTTACGATAATTTTTATGTAATAGTTATTCAAAAAGAAACAAATTATCATTAAAAAAAAAAAAAAAAAAATGTTGGGAATCAAGGATTTGAACCGTGGATCTCTAGATTGCGAGTTGTATATGTGAATCTGTCATACTTCTCAATGTAAGTAGTAACTAACTTTAATTATTAATATCTTTTAAATAATTAGTCGTCTGCCCACAAAACGGGGTATAGGCGTGTTCAGCTCGACGAGCTCTACAAGCTGGCAAAGTTTCATTAATAAGTGAGTGTAACACTTGGGTAGTTCCCCTTGTAAAACGTAAAACCATAATTTCTAACAATAAGACAAATAACTAAAACGCAATAAGCTTCAGCTTTAACTGAAAAAACGTAACGTCTCTTTTTGATTTCACTCAGGTTCGCCAACCCTCCATCACTAAAAGTCGCTAGCCGTCGATTTCAGTCATGCAATATATCAAAAAAAAATTTGCTACGCGACATCCCATCACTAGAAGAACCGATCGGGAACCGATTTATCATTTTTCCAAACTATACTTTCACTGCTGATAATACATCTTCCCTTTAGACTTTTAGCATCCAATATACATTTTTTATATAGTGAATACTATTAGTGTAACTGGGATTTTATTTTAGAGTGGACCAGGTCCCTCCGAAATTTAAAAATTTTGGATTTGCAATTTTGCAATTTGAGAATTTTGAAATTTTGGTATTTTGAACTCTTGATATTGTGAAATTTTGAATATCTGGAATGTTTGAATTCTGAAATCCTGAAATCTTGGAGTGTTGAAATTTTAGAATGGTGGGGGATTAATTCACACGAAGGCCCCCCCGGTGGGGGGCTAGCCCCTATCTAATTAGACCAATGTTGGATATTTATAAATCTGAAAACTGTTTCTCGTCAGCACGAAAGTAGTGATAATAATTGTATACCGATACGGTAATTAAAATTAAAACTAAATAATAATGAAGAAACAAATCTGTAAAAATAAACAAAAGATCAAGAGATAGTCATAGAAATAATACTGAATAGAAAGAAAGATGTTTATTGTCAGGAATGCTATGGTATATTTAAGTTGAACGAAGACTAGGTGCAGTGTAGAATATGCTATGAATGAGCCTATGGAAGCGGTGCTAGTTGGAAAACCAATTGGATAAATTCCATTGCTACAGATAGAAAATCATAACTTTGAACCGATATTTGAAATCACCACTTTTCAACAATTTTCTTCTGTCTAAAAAAATTGAACGTAAGCTATCATAGAATAGCATAGATTTTTGTAATAAACCACAATTGCCGTTTGTAGTTTAGTTTATTAATTTCAGAGTCACGATTTTTTATCTTAACATCTCGGTTTTATCTTACAATTAGTCTCCTCTGTTTGTACCTGATAGAATTTTACATAAATATTATTTATAAATCTTTTATCGAATAATTTTTGTTCTAAAACAAAAAATTAAAGAAAAAATATACGTTAAAGTCTTAAGAGAAAAGTATAATACTTTTCCATAAAATGTAGAGTAATAAAAAAATTTCTTTTGTACAACACCGTTTCTCAGCAAAATTTCTTACGTGTACAGTAAAATAAAGTAATTATACAGATAAAGAAACTTAGTTGTTTTTACAAATTATGAGTAAGATACTGCACGTCAGGAGTATAATGGTAATTAGTGAGAGAATTAACCTACCTCTTGAACCCAAGCTTGTTGCTTGACCGGTGCATCCGGTGCAATAGCGATTCTTCCGGCAGTCCTTTGTTTGTACTCGTGAAGAATAGGGATTTTGGAATTCTTGTCTCCTGACGACAAAACCACCTCGCGTTCTATCTGTAAATTAAAAAACTATTGTTTAATTGTTACTCTTATTACTAACATTATTTTAACCGGAGTATATAGCTACGTTTAAAAAGTGCATTTCTATTTCTATTTTTTATCAGAACTACATTAACGTAACTTGGACCTTCTTCTTTGATGGTTTTTTCAAACATTTTGGTAGTCTGAAATTTTTGAATTCTTAGAATTTGGAATTTTGGAATGTAAAAAGTCTGAAATTTTTGAACTTTTGAATTTTGAAAATCTGGAATTTTTTAATTTTTAGCATCTGGAATTTAGAATTCTGAAATTTTTGGAAATCTGGAATTTGATAATCTGAAATTTAAAGATTCTAGAGTTCTAGAATAATACTTCGAAATTTTAGAAATTTGAAATTGTTAAGATTTGTAGTTTTGGAAATCTAAAGTTTTGAAATACTGGAATTTTTAAATTTTTAGGATCTGGAATTTAGAAGTCTGAAATTTTTGGAAATCTGGAATTTTGATAATCTGAAATTTAAAAATTCTAGAATTCTAGAATAATATTTTTAAATTTTAGAAATTTGAAATTGTTAAGATTTATAGTTTTAGAAATCTAAAGTTTTGAAATACTGGAATTTTTGAACCTTACGATTAGGACTTTAGAATGGTGAAGGTCCACATTTTTTAGGAGTCACTCCACATTTTAGGATGGGGGGGGGCAAGTTTACCTTGGCCCCCACCTCGATACATCAATGCAGAACTGCATAATTTTTCAGATGATTCGTTTTAGATATCTCACTCTGTATACTGCATTTGTATGCATATAATCTATAAATATCATAAATGAATAAATGAAACCACGCTTCCAATATTGTAACACAATTAGTTCTGTTTCAGAAGACGTTAATATCTCTTCAATTTATTGAATTTTTTATTGCAGTTACAGTAAAACCTGGATAAATTCAACGAAAGAATGCTTGGATAAATGAAACATCGCTATCCCCTCCACTTGGGGGGATCCCCCTAGGCGAGCCGAGCCGCTCGACGAGGAAACCGTGTAATATGATCCGACCGTAATATCCGTGTGACTAATACTAATTCAATGATAAAACTTTTTTATTTTTAACTTTTTCTCAATGAAACTTTTACTAATGCATTTGTGAGGTTTTTCTGATTAAAATGATACCAATCACGATATAGGTTGAATGATATTTATTAGGTGCTTTATGAATTTAGGAAAAGTCCGTGATTTCCATGAAACCGGGCAGTTTCTTCCTATTGAAAATTAAAGTAATTTACGAGCTAAGAATAATAATAGAATAAATAAACAATAGTAATAGAATAACCAATAGTAATACAATAAACAATAGTAATAGAATAAACAATAGTAATAGAATAACCAATAGTAATACAATAAACAATAGTAATAGAATAAACAATAGTAATAGAATAAACAATAGTAATAGAATAAACAATATAGAATTGACACCACGACTGAATATAAATGATGTCGGCTGAATACAAAAGATGTGTACGGACATAGAATCGGCATGTCGGCTGCAAAGAAAACATGTGTACGGACTCAGAATCGACACCTCGCTTGGATAAATGAAACATTAAATGCCCAGAATCGACTCCTTGCTTGAATAAATGAAACATTAAATGCCCGGAATCGACTCCTCGCTTCAATAAATGAAACATTAAATGCCCAGAATCGACACCTCGCTAGGATAAATGAAACCTTTGAAACCAAAGCCGACACCGCCACTGGTTTGGATTTCGATCTCTCTTGCTTTTCGCCAATTTATAACATCAATTTTAGCAAGTAATTATAATTGAAACTATATCGTGTTTGGTACCACTTTACTCACAAAAATCTCACCAATGCGCTAGTAAAAGTTTCACTCAAAAAAAGTCAAAAATAAAAAAGTTTTTTGATTCAATTAGTATTAGTCACACCGATACGTTTCGGCTCTTTCCTTTGATTTCGGACCTCTCTCTTTTCACCACTGTCTGTCCCTTTCTACGTTCACGCTTGGCTGGTCGTCACGTGTCATCCGAGCTTCGATACCGTGCTTACATAAACGCAACCACTGGGTCCCAATCTTGGTTGAATTTATCCAGGTTTTACTGTAGTTCGTTTTATTCCACAGTATGCCGTTCTCGCTTGCACGATAACCATTTAATTTTTCCAAACAACATCAAGAACAGGATTTGAAAGCTCAGAAACGCGGCTCGTGAAACGAGCAACTTGCACGATGTTTGCTCTCATATAATAATGTATCTAAAAAGAGGTGTCACTGAACTAAACTCGCCTTGAGATCGCATCACGGCCTGAAGAAAGCAAGTGTGATAAAATAAGCTACTGTAGCGGAAAACGAGCACGTTTAATCATGGCGTTGCAACGTGAAACGTTTATGAATAATTCTCCGTACATTTTCATACCGTTTTATATGTTATAACTTTTTATGAACAAAAAAATAAAAACGAACAAAGAAGGAAACTTTCGAGCCTGTTGCTAATTGTAAATTAGTTGTCCGTAAAACGAGTTCACCGTTACGCATGCGAATCCATTTTTTGTATTTTTATATTTTATTACTGAAATATTATATTCTTCTATTGAAATAATTTATAGGGTTTTCATATACAAACAATAAGAATTGAAATTATATTAATATTTGAATAGTTCACCATCTCTGAATTCATTGTTTCATGTGAATATGGATTATGTATGTAAATATCATGTTAATTACATGATAGTAATTTATGAATAGATAATTAATTGAAGCCATAGATTTCCTTGATAATTGTATGTCCAACTTTTGCATCAGTTTTCTTTAATCACTTATTATTTTTCTACATAAGGAAACATATTTCATTTAAATTTCTCTTACATAAATTTTGCAGTACAAGAAAATTATTATTTAGTAATCAAGTTGTCACGAATTCCCTGTATACTTTTGCAAATAAGAAACCACCGTGACGTGAAAATAAGCTATTCCCATAGTTAGCGTTATGCTTATTTCTCGAGATAACTACACCATTAAACTTCGGTAACTCACTTCAGAAGTTCCGGATTGCATGAAACAATTATTGCAAGGATTGTACGTCACGGTAAAATTGTTAAAAACGTCTGTTTATTTTTTCGTGATGGCCGTTCCACAGGCTTGAAGATTTTTTTTATAGGAATGTTCAAACTAAGTAAGATAAAGCTCTGGCGGGCTATCTTCCTTACTCTTGGCTACAAAGAAGGTGACAACGAGTAGAACACTCGCGCTTGTATAAATAATGAGCATGAGGCATTCCTAACGGCTAGTTATTCCGCAGGTATTTACCTATTATTAAATAATATTTACATATTATTTGCTATATGCTGTTAACTAAGAATAAAAATCACGATTTTTAATAACATTCACTTTAGCTTCGAAAAAAACATAGTTGTAACAAAAAATAACATAATGTAGGCGTTTAAGTGGCGACACGGGGGACACGGTTTCGTCTCCCCGAACGCCTTTGGTTCGGGCCGGAGACCGCTAGGTGGCGGCGAGATGATCGGTGACAGTGTTCTCGCAAGCGGTCGCCCGGCATGCAGTTCGAATATATAGAAGTTCCGAATTGCGGCATGATAGGTGTCTGAGGCAGGGGGACCACAAAGGTGCCGTTCGGGACCTTGCACCCAGCCCCAGCGAGCGGTGTCATGTGCTGTGCCAACCCCTCTTCCTCGTGGTGTGGTCCGGGCATTGGCTATTCCGATGGCAAACGGGGGGACTCTCTGGCTGTGGACGTGAAGCGTCTGGTGAGTGTAATTTCTAACCCCCTCAGGTGTGAGTGTGTTAAAGTAGAAGCGTCGTCTTAGACCAAAATTCCTTACACGCCGACAATGAGTCAAGTGTTGGGCCTTCCGTATCCGCTGACCTACCTGGCGCCACTTGGTTGGGAGGTGGCTGCTGGGAGGTAGGTATAATAGCGCAATCGCGCCCTTTAACATCGCCGGTATAAGTGCAAACTTGGGAACGGCAGAGCGGGTTTTAAACTCCACAAGGCTCCCTTATACAATAATCTGTTTGGAGCAGGGATCGTCTGTTGTCAGCCCCACTGGACGAGTCGGACAGACGATCCTGAGACGAAAAGCCTTTTTCTCCCCTCTTCTACAATAACGCAAATTAAGGTAATAATAAAATAGCCCTTGGGGACCTTGCTTAATAAAGAACGAGTACATAAGATGATGATAAAACATAACTAACTCCTAAGTTTATAGTAAGAAAACTATCCAAATACATAAGTACATAATTCCATCTTACAGTCAATTATAGAACTTATGACATTTCAAAATAATATCATTTCAGTATTTTAAAGTTCACATTAACTTTATTTTCATCATAAAGTTTTTAATAATTTTCAGATAACACTTGTTACAAATCAACTGTAGTAAACTAATTGAAACTGAATTGAAATTTTAAGTTAAGTGCGAGATACTCAAGATATGAATTTGCAAACGGTAAATTTTTAGTTGAAGGATTATAATTATGAAGAACACGAAATTATACATTTATGCATGTTTACATTGTTACGTGGTACAAAGTGTAATTACAAAATTTTTCTAAGTCATTTTCGATAAGATTTACTTGATGCGATGAATCACGCGTACTTTCCGTGTCCCATTAAGATGTACATCGCTACCACATGTTTCTGAAGTATCTAATTAGCGCTATCTTGTTACGACAAAGATGAGAAGAAAGTATAATTTACAGAATATTCTGAAGAATCTTCTGGAATTACGTTACACTAATGTGATTGTAGATCAGAGATAGAACATTGGAAATGATTAGAACATTGTTAGATTAACAAAATAACTGTATATCGTTATACTATAATTAATCAGGACATTGAGAAATGAGCGAAACAATTATGTCAGGTTGCAGACACTTATAACTGGACTGCAAATGTTTATACATTTGTAACAGTACTGACGATGAGCGTTGTCGAAGTAAACTATAATTTAAATAATCTATCTATATACCGGGTGATTCACGA